TCAGGTCCGCCTCAGGGGTGATGCCCTGACGGGGGGTTTAAACGGGCCACTATATTTTTGACAGCGGTCAAAAAATCAATGATGACTACTAATTTTCGCCTGTCAAATGGATAAACAGAACGAGATTATGATATTCTTGTATATATTTCTTATGGAAACTTGTGGCAACTAACGGGGTTTTTCTCTAGGTCTCATGTCTGCGCACCATCTTTTCAAGATCATCTCAGAAGCAACGCTGCTCTTACAAAAGTCAGCTGAGATCAGCGCGACATCTGCTCACATGTCAGCGCTCTTATATAGCAGGAGTGAAAAGCGGTTTGTAAGTTCATCTTAGTACTACCCAGGTCCTCAGGTCCGTTTAGATCACTTGAAGTGACGACCAAAACGTACAGATCTACATATGCGACGGTAGAGGAGCCTCCGAATCCTCCTCTTTCTGGTTCTACAGTAGCCACGCAAATTTGCATTGCCAGCGCGATAGCAGGTACACTGTAGTTTTCCACAGCAAGTACTCTGCAAAATGAAGTTGAAGAAAGCAGAACTTGACATTTTTCCTGTTTACCTCGCCATGTCGTTGCACTCTTGCGTGTTAGAGATCACAGCAATTTCATCGAAGACAAGGGCACTGGGCTCTTTATAGAATTTGTAAGCTACTTTCTGCAAAGTAGGCCTTGTAGTTAAAACAGTTTCATGAATACCACTAACGTGACGTTGTGCCTTCATAGCAGTAGCCATGGCGAAAAATATAAGACCCAAGATTACCATGAAGTTGAAGAATAGAGCCATTGACAGCAACGGTTGCAATGTTCTGCAAAAGGGTCCTTTGAATTTTACCGTTTTGTGACAGCATAATCCATCTCACTGATAGAGATGGATGTCTGTGCATTTGTCCGTCTGCCTGTTATTTGCTTGTTTGTATATATGTTTCAGACAAAAATTTCAATTTTGAACCAATCCGGACAAAACTTTGCGCACATATCCTTCGGGGTGCTGAGTTTCCTAGGCTAGTATAATTGTTCAATCTCAACTTTATCAAACTTTAGGCTATGGGGTTGGGGCTCGGCACAGGGGTGAGCATACTGATTACGCATAATAACTGCCTGTGAAAATACCATTACATCTAGTACAACTTATAATAAATTCTCTGTAAACTTCAAGCTATTAAACCTGGGCTCGATCTGGTTATAGCGGCGCCCCATATTGCTGCGCCTCACTTATTTTTCAATAACAAGGAATTTTTCTGCGAACGAGTGTTTGGCATAATGCATTCACGTTGTTATTGAATTTGTTTAAATGAAATGCTCAAAGACATTCATTATGGTTTGGAAGCGAATACGCTCTAGAAGGGATGATAATCTTCAACTCGATCCTTGTTGTAACACCTTTTTTCTTGCAAGTAGAAGAAATGCTAATTTTGTGGCGCAAAGAATCTGTGACTGAAAAACTTTTTCCTACTTCTTGCATACACCTGCGATCCAGTTTTAGCGCCTTCCCGAACGATGTCAAGAACACGCATAAGCACTTCACTTTGCAATGGCGCAACTAAAGTTAATAGTGGATTGCTCAGGCGATTAAAAAAAATCTTCGTTCTCATAGGAGTTCTTCGTCCGACACGTAAATGTACTGTACAAATTTAGGTGCAACTTAAAATCAAAAACGGGAATTTTTAAAGTTGAAATTTTGCAAATTGGTAAGTAACAGTGGGAAGATCCGCAAATCAGAAAGTAAGTTAAACGACGCGCCCTTAAAAACGAAACGCAAACAATCCCCAGCAGCTTCGAAGAAATCTGGATGTGACCCATACACGACTATTTTCATTTTTTATTAACTACATAAGACTATTATGGGCAAAGTTGGCTCTGCCCACGGTTACAGCGTCAGGCTGCAGATATAAAGGAAGCAAGTGACAAGCCGGCTGAAGGAAACTCACTTCAAATGCTTTATATGTATCATCAGGTAGTTCGCGTAAAGCTAGGGCGTTGCCCGGAGGCAACGAGCACTCGAGCCAGACGAATGCGAACAGTACTAGAAGGGGTAACCGTCCCAGCAAGGTAAGCGGAAACGGCTGAAAAAGCTAGCTTATCACAGAAAACATTCACGTTTACGACTACAGTATGTCTAGCTACCATCAACGCCGGATCACTCATAGCTCGACAGCGATCTGGCCGACCTTGTCAGAAGACGTAAAGTAGGCATCGCTCGTATCCAGGAGACCAAATGGAATGGTGAAAGGGCGCGCGATATCGGCGATAGATACAAGCTTCTGTACAAAAGAACGATCAACAAAAGGAATGGTGTAGGCATAGTTGTCTTTGAAGAAGAGATAGGATCATCAGTGTAGACCGATTGTGTGAGGAAGCGGAAAAGGAAAAATTCTGGCAGCAGTTCGAAGACTCAGTTCGGTTCCAGAAGATGAGATGTTACTAATCAATGCGGTTCTCAACGGTTATGTCGGGGAGGAACGGTGGTCTACAGAGGTGCTATGGTAATCACGACAACGGAACACGCAATAGCGAAGAACGTAATCTGGAGTTCGCTACTGCCCAC